TATAAAATATTTCCTTAAAATATACATTAAAAATATATAAAATATTTCCTTTGTTGTTAGGCACTCGATTACTTTGTCTCTTCCAACAAACCCGACATGTTTTGACATTTTACACAGGCGCAGCAGATGACTTGTCAACAGGAAAATCATGTGGTGGATTGGGGAAGGGTCAAAGTCATCCACAGGGAGGACATCATGGAGAGAGGGACGATAAAGAAGAGAGCCCACACAGCGGTGGGCCGGGTTGAGGGGGCCTTCAAGCTTTCCTATGTCTGGAGCAACATCCTCCAGCGATGAGGAGCCAGCAGGAGGCGGTGTCGGCTCGTGATGGGCTGACACCGCCTCTGAGAACGACTGACACCTCTGATGAAGTAAAACATCAAAACATGTCAGGGGAACAAAGTAATCCAGTGTCTAAAAACAAACACACACACAGACAATGAGTTTTATTGGAATATTAGATAAACAGAAACTCAATAATATGAAGCTTTAAGTGTAATCACCAATGAAAGTCTTGAACAAAGATACCTTTTCCAGAGAGAGGGTGTTACTGACAGCGTGATCCACCAGCTCTGACATCTCCTTCTTAAAAAGGGCCACATCTTTGCACTCATTGGCTCGGGCATGATGCAGAATCAACTCTGCAACCCTCTCACCCTGTGAGACCACCAACACCACGGTGGAAGTTAGTTAATTTTGTTTGATCTTTAAATCTGATTAGAAATAACTTTAATAAAGACAAATGTTTTGCCACGTTTTTGTAAAAGACAAACATCAGAACCTCTCTGGTGTTCCTCTCGTCAGCAAACAAACGAACTCTTCCTACCTGATGCAGCACCACAGCTGTGAAAACAGCCTTGAAGTTAGCCAGATCATAGTCGCTGAGCTGGGCCACGATACCGGCGTCCAGCAGCACCAGCTGGACAGGACACGGGTCGGGTCTGACACTGACCACAACTGTGTCCCACAGGTCGGTAAGGGTGGTCTTCCCATGGTGGTCCACTGGGACACTGGTGGAGTCGGGGAAACCAGCGAGAGGCTTCTGACAATGAACCAGAATGTTCCCAGGATGAAGATCCCCGTGAACAAAGTTATCCACAAAAACCTGCCAAACAAACGTAGATGAAGAGAACCATCAAAGTTCTGACGAAGGTAAATTATGGGCTGCCGTTTGTAAAGTTACACAGTCAAAAATTACCACCAATATTTGTTTTATTTAGCCTTTTATAAGAAAAAAAGAACAGATTTATTTTTCAAAGTCAGTTTTTCACCATATGATTCATACATTTATAAATGTCATAGTTTATGAACTAAATATTTAACTCACAAATAAAATATTT